CACAGCCTCTCACTCATCTCTGATTACGAATTCGACGTAGGATCGACTCTGGGATACCGATTGCTCGATGACCAAATGGCCGATGTTCGCGCGATAATTTCTGTCGCTATCTGCGTACTAGACATTTGCAACGTCGCATTGTCGTGAATCGATATTTTCTCATTGCATTGTATAGCTGCTGCTAGACGTAGTAAACTTTAAAAACGTTAAGATAATTATCGCGTTAACGTAGGTGATTAGCCGCCTTTTAACGCGCTTGATTTCATGCGACGACAAAATCTTTTGACGAATTTATCGAGCAGCTTCTGAACCTCTTCGCAATGATCCGTAAATAAAAGTAAAGTCTCGTGTGTCACGAAGTATTTCGTGCGGAGAAAGAAGTATTCTTGGCCTCGTCGTTGAATCGCGAAACAACGGTCCCGTTTAATACATGCAGCACACGACCTTTACCACGGTTTCTATTCATCTTGATTATTAGTAGGGTAGAAGGAAATTATGTCTATAATTACGGCTTGAGTAAAAATATTCCTAACGCGATACCGTATATAAGAGCAAGCACGGACATACATACTTCTTTTGTTTTATCGATTCGCGCCTCGGCCAGCACAATTTATAAATACCTTGTAAAGCCCGTGTACACGTGCTGCGCGTTAACATGCGACCGACCCGCGTAACCCCTTGTTTCTACGCTGCGTGGGAATCTGCAATGTAAAAATATCCTCTACAGCCCAGGAATTTCCCGCTGTTCTTTACTTCCCGCCTCTTCTATTTTAACAACCACGTTTTAGAATATGCAAATGCAAATTTAGAATAGATGTTGCGTGTCGCAGTCGGACTTTGTCGTATAATTTTCGCGCGCTTTTATTGCCATTCGAAGTAAGGAAGAAGACAACGAAAGACTGTGAAACGTTCGTTGCCAAGGCACAATCGAAGCTTAACGATGGTGTGCACTCAAGAAAAAACGAGCGTATAGGGGAAACTTAATGGCTTTCGTACTGTTTTTGTTTTATTCGTTCGTCATTCGTCGTATGTAATTCTGATGCTATTGAAGAAGAGAATTCGCGTGTCCGTACGTGACCGATCAACATAGCCTCGCAAAGTCGCACACGTCAGACCGTTTCCGAACAGAAGTGTATCAATTCGACGCACTGAGCAGATGCCACTTAGCATTGCACGGTCGGTCGCCTATATGCCATACGAAGTTACGGCTTTCTACGTTCGATGCACTCTGGTGCGACGCCAGCCCAAAATTAGTTGGCTAAACGCGATAATTGCGAGCGTCTATTAATTATGTCGTGGTCTTTAAATGACCAGCTATAATCGCGGTCGAAACTTATCTCGACGTGGTCTCTCCCATAACGTAGCGTGCGCTCGGCATGCTATAGCATCGTTGCTCCATAGGAAATTGGTCAACGGCCTCGTTTATTGCAGCTCGTACAAGTTTTATCGTTTCGCCGTCAAACTTTATACCCGTGGAATCCGTTACAAGAGAACGTGGACATGTTGGATTCGTATGGTGTGCATTGGACGCGACTCGATCTTTGCGACTATTTTGCATGCGAAATTATTCGCTAGCGCGTGAGTTCGTTCGCTTGTCCGAATAGTTTTAGCACGCCTGATATCTCCTTGATTTCTCTACTGGCTGTTCGCCTCGAATTCGTTCTCGCGTTTCTGTGTAGCTTTGTTCCCAACGTCGCCCGAACGTCTGATATACGTCGTTGTTATCGCGATCGATTCACAGACAGAACGATGGGAAATCCGCGAATATACTTTTTTGTCTGGCCGTGAGAGCAGCAGCCTGCAGAGCTGCGATTAAGGTTTTTAATTTACACGCTTTGTTCTTGCTGACAAATGGCGAGTAAACAAAGTACGTTGCCGCGTATTGATAAAAGTTTAGAGGAACCGCGTTGTGCGGCAGTTGTGTAACTTCGTTCCTCGTGGTTCGCGCATTTAATCTCCAGTGTGTTTTTACTTGCTGGAAAATCACATTGTAAACTATATTTCATAGAACTGGACGTGCTCATAGTTGTACTACGAAATGAGCCATGAATAAGAAGATTGCTTATCGTAATTGTAATTCAGGACTACGAACGAAACAAACGAAGACCCGCGGCTCGACGAGAATAATTTCGGCGATGTATTACCGTTTCCCAGGCTTCAATAACGCTCAGCTGTCGCGCGTCTGGCTGATCCGAACCGCTCACCAAAGCGAATTCGTCTCAAAGCGTGATCCCGGCCGATTCGTCTCGCTGATCGTGACTATTATCTATTCCGCCGCGCTGTTCCATGCAAACGACGGAATCGGTCGAATTCAGCCATGCACGAACAGACGACCGAGCATGCTACGCGAAAGGCAGCTATTACTTTTCAGGCAAACCACATAAATAGACGACAACCCAACGCATAAATAGTTCCCCTCGGTCTGGCTTTCAAGAGACGGGACGCAATTGCGCGAATCATGATTGGCATCGATAATTTCAATTTCGTTCTCCTGTTCTCTGTTTCCTTCTCCACATCTCTCCTATGCTCCAACGTCCGACCTTTATCCTAATCTAGACAACGCGTTGCAGCGTTGCATCGATGATTCGCGCGATCACATAATTTATCGCTGGAGAACTATAATCTATACCGAAGGAAATGGAACGTTTGACCTCCGTAATGCCGGAAGGGAAATGGGAATCGGAAATACATATGCCTTAAATAATCTACCAAATCTGTCCACGTGTTTTCGTTGAGAACAATGATCGTCGACGACGATGACGATGCTTCGAAAACGATCGAACGGTTGTTCGTTGAAACTTTCTTTTCTTCGCAGAAAATGTTACGTAAATCGTTTCCTATTTATTTTCGTATCAACATCGTATTAACGACGTCAAGCTGATAATTGCCGTTGATAATCGTTACGGTTTCCAGATCGTATCGAGAGCTATCGCGAACACTAGCCAAATCGATCGTAAACGCTCGTGAACCCACGCTGTTCTATTTTCGAAAATACTACAACTTACGTTTCATGTAATAGCTTTGTTCCTATCGTTCAGAAAGCAGTGTTATGGATATGCGGTCGAATGACGGAAGCAATAATCGTCGTCGTGTTAAAATGGCTGAAAATTGTCGGAGCGGTCAGCTATTCACCTCTGATAGAACAGAAATTTCAACAAATGTGATACGATACCGTAATACAATAACGATGAATAGCGATAAATCACTATACAATTTGCGAATATTTCGCTAGAAACTTGGTAGTGAATAAAAAAATATTTACGACCATTCTTTTTTAATATTCATATTCGATCACAGAGCCATACATTATAAATGAATTCATTGGATGAACGTCCTCTTTATTCAAGTGTCCTGGCCGATATAGTATCTTATTTTATTTCTCTTTCTATTGGCTCGTTTCATTTTCTCTTTCATGGCTCTCTACTGGCGTATAATTTACCAACGCGAACCGCGTCAATAAAACATAGACGGTCGAAAATGATGGTTGAAATGATTTTGTACGAAAATGAACGAATATCGTGCATTCAATGGAAGCGATTAATTTGCGAGCAACTCGCAGATTCGCAGAAATATTATGAATGATTTGCGTAAAGTGCGTAGCTAAAATTCAATGTTAATGCCGTGTGTGACGAAAAGTGCCACGAAATCGGCACGCTTAGGTAATTTGGTTTTTATGCAGATTCAACCAACGTACACAATGCATCGTCGAACATCATTTGCCTGACAGTATAGTAGAAATGCACGACAAGCGTAAAATCTGTAATAATTCAAAGAGCCATTTTCCTGTACGAGAAGTATATTAACGCAACGTTTTTACTATAGAACTAAATGGGAATAATATCATCAGCGTATTGTAGATTCCGTGGGAAGCCATTGAAAAGATTATGTTTGAATAACGCGTGAAGAAATTTTTATCATTAACGATAAAATCAATTATTACTCTCGAATTCGTAATCCCTTAGATGCCTATTTTCATTTAATCCCGGGGGAAAAATTTTTAATTTTAAAGTCGTCGTTGACGTTTTTCTTTTACTTGTGTACCCTATAGTCTCTTCTTTACGGTCCTTCCCTTTGCTATTTTTTATCTTTCGATTAGCAGACTTTAGTATATTTCGCAAAGCTTCGCAGCCTTTGATCAAAGCGTTTAAGACGGAGCTTATTTTACAACGGAGATTGCGAGCTTAACTCGAAAGTTACGAGTATAATCAATGATAATAACTGAGGTTCCTTTTAAAGCCGTCGGTATTAATGTATTCAAAGTGTTCTTAGGAATTCAGTAACGGAAGGTTCTCTTTCCTTATGGAAGCTAAGTAGCCCGAATTCTCCTTTTTCGCTGCCCCGTAAGATTTATAACGACTAACAAACGAAAGATATCCCGTCTTATTTTAGCTGCGAATCTAATTGGCATGTGGATAGGAATGTTTAATCAACCAACTTCAAACTTTGAATATTGAAAACCAATATTATTTTTAATAACGTGTCGAAGAATGTTTTAATTCAACTTGTTCGTTTAACGAACGGAATGTAATTAGCGAAAGAACCGATCGACTCGATTGTATATTTCTCTACGGTTCGATAGAACGGTTCGCGCCTGGTCGTAAGAATCAAGCAGCCCCTTTTAAAAAAATACCTCCGGCGAGTCGAATTTTATTTTCATTGACAGTACAACGAACGATTCTAAGCAAGTAAAACCAGGCTTGTTTCTGAAAGCTTCGCGGTCGAAGCCGAAACCGTGGAAATTCGAACAAAGAACGAAGCACGAATTCAAGGAAATTTGCCTAATACGCAGAAAGAAGGAAAAGTGGTTGTAGGTGGAAGCGATGGCTCTGGTAGATAGACGTGGAGGCAGCGAGGTAGACAGACAAGCAGACAGTGCGAAAGACGAAGGAAAATGAGAGACCCTGAGGGAAAAGCGGGAAAAGCCGCGGATGCTCTGGCCCGGCAGAGATTTGCAATGCTAACCAGGGACTGCATTAAACGGGAATTAATTTCTTGCTAACCGTCTGGAGTAGCTGTGCCCCCGGAGTGTTCTCTTTCTCTTTCTTCGATCCTCGTTCTAGCTCGTTGCAACCACCGGGCTACTGCCGCTACGGATAATCCTGCCGCGTTTACTGAACTCCCTCGGGTGACCATGCTGGAAAACGAAGAACGTATTCGTGTACTCTCCGCGAATCCTCCTGGTCTCCTTGCACAGCTACTTCCCCAGGGATACTCAGACGGGACACGTTCGCACGCGACCAACCACCGTTCACCGTTGCTTCTTCTCGTCCTCGTAAATTTACTTCCGGCCAGCTATTACTATTGTACATCTCGAGATCTTTCTCGTCGGTGGAAAAAATAAAAAATACAGCCGACAAAAGGAAAGGTGTATGGGATTTTCTCAGTAAATCTCAATTTAGAGGTTAATCGAGAACGTATCTTCTCGAGAACTTGGCCGTGTTTCACGCTTTGCACCGTAGGGAGGCGGACGATCGCTGTTTAACCGAGGATTTTAAAGATACAACTAGAACGTACCTTTCGCTAATCTCCTGACACGTTACTTAAAAGTGGAACATAACGTTTAAAGCTTTTTCTCTTTTCGCTCGTGTTCAGAATATCCGTGTAAATTCAACGTTATACACGTATGGTGCAACTATAGCCATATGTTTAAACTGTAATTGGTTGATCGATATTAATAACGGAGATTGTTCGTAACGATAGTAGGATTTACGCGCTGTAGAAACAGGTTTACGGGTTTCGCGAGATCGCATCATGAGAATTCTACAACACGATCGCCTGTGGATGTTCACGAACACGTAGCGTAATTACGGTGGCGACAAATTGAAGACTGATTAACGCTCGACTGCCGCTGACAATCGTTTCACGTGCGAGACAAGAGGGTGCTCGCAGCGACAACGGAGCTGCAATTCATCCACGTATCGAACTTCGATACTTCCGCCAGTCGCGACAGCTCTCGAGTGCTCGCGCGTCAAGGAGTTGAATCACGAAGAAAGAGAGTTTCATTACACACGTTGTTCAATAATTCTCGTGTGGTCGTTTATCTCTACGTATCACTGTCTATCTGTGAATATCGCGGTTTCACGTGCACCACGATAGAACTAATGATTCGACCTTTTAATGGAGTTTCTCTCGAGATTTTCGAAAGAACCTAAAACGAATATGTCAGCCTGTTATAAATGTGTATTATTTCGTCGTGATTTCGTCGTATCTCGTAAACAGGAACCGGATAAACTGTCATAAACAAATTTTTAATCATCGAAGATTATCCCTGAAATTTAACGATAACGTTTACGTTTGCTTTGGCTGAATTCCAAAACGGTTTCAAAGCGATGGATATTAATGCCAAAAATATTTTAATCGGTGTCATTAGCATCGTCGATTAAAAGTGTCTGTTAATTCCAGAGAATTTATTTGATTAACAAAAATTACTCGTATCGAGCGACGCCATGATGTCAGTCGATGAAACGATCGATCGAATCGATCAATTTGTCGTCAGTGCTGGTCGCTTTATAATCGTCGTATAAATAACAATTTTATGGAAAAGAGAAATTGCGATAGTTCGCAAATTTGATTTTTTCCCCTTTATTCTATTATGCTTTCTAAGAAAATTTACTTGTCGGATGTATTTTATTTCGAAATCTCCTACTGGGAGCGCATTTCGGGATTTATGATACACTGCGTGCGCGAGAGGGAAGAGCTGACAGTAACGGATCTGCGAAAATCGCAGCGTATAAAACTTCAGCGCAGCGAGACAGTGGTGCCGCAAAATTTGTTCAAATCAGACTACTCGTGTTCTTGTTACACGCATCATGCAGAATGACGTTTATACGGGCAGAATAAAAGCAAACACATTAAATTCTCTGCTTTACATATCGGCGAGAAAAATTCTCGTGTTTTTAATTATCTCCGGGAAAATTTAAAAAACGGCTGAAGAAAAATGGCGCGTTATTTTCAAAAGCAACGAAGGAATAGAAACGCAAGGGGAACGAGGCTATGGGTCGGTGGTTTACGTCCGCGCAAACAGATACGTGGTACTGGTGTCGAGAGAAGAACGATGTAAACAGGCGGTGGACGAGCGAGGACGAAGGAATATCGGTGTCGAGAATCGAGCGGGGTGGAGCGTGTGCAGAGAAGCGTGTCTTGTGCAGAAATCTACCCCGTTCGTAGCGGCCGAAGCAGCGGGGATTGGGGAAGCCTCTGGTGGTCGATACGTGGGTCAGCAACATGCTTCACTGGCAGTGCCAATGGGGCGGTTTGCGAAATCCTCGAGCGGTACAATCCGTCTACGAAATATCGCAGGTGTTTGGCAAACGAGCTATAGAATCCACCGAATGCCGCGATAAAGACCTTCACGATGACTATAATTAATAACGGTTATCTATCTTTGGAGCGAAGATAATCAAATCTAATCCTTGCCGTAAGATTCTCCGAATTACATTCCCATGAATTAGAAATTTCGAGAGACCGTTGGAATTTCGAGCGGAAACCTCGCTATCATCCTATCATCCGATAGACGTCTTGCACCGTTTCTAAGACGTACGAACGTTGCGATCAAATGGTCTGTAAATTATTGAAACAAATGGACCTTTTTCAAACAACGATAGATAATAATACCTATGTGTCAAACTTTTGACCAAGACGGTACAATTCTATGGTACTTGTCTCCGTAATCCGCAATCCGATCTTAGATTTATCCGACTTTACTGTTCGACAACATCGATCCATCGAAGCCATCGCGAGATGAAGCTTGATGTAGCCTGTCATTATTAATAACCACTTCGCTCGCATTATTATTGGTGGCATAGTCGTAATTCACGCAAGTGTCGCCTGTCTGTTTTAATATTCGCGCGTAATTTTCACGTTGTAAGATTTCTGTTTGCGATGATATCGGTTAATCTTAAAGTAGAATTCCTATTTTGCATATGAAAGATCGCGAAAGAAGGATTAAAACGGAGTATTTGAAGATTGACATGTAATTATCACGTAGTTTTTAAATTCCGCGCCAAATCGATATTCGTCTTCGCTCGTTAGTTTGATTCACAGTTTTCTTAAGTTGCTACTTCGTTCATTTTCTTTTGTTTTGAAATTCAGTCTCGACAATAGCCGTTCGCGTTTGTCATTTACTCAATTAGCCAACGATTCGATCTATTCACTGGCTGACGTATTGTGTCAACTTTGAGATTAATGAGAGCTTACTTTGGAAACAAATATTTTTCATACGATCGGAATTACTCGACCAAGTACGATCAAGCTACCGAATCCATTAAACAGATTGCAGCGGTGCATTTTTTAAAAGTCCCATGCTGCTTGTTTCGATTAGATTCTCGCGCCACGCTCTCTTGTTTCACTTCGCGTAACTGTTTTCAAATTCTATCGTTTATTTCTATTTGATTTTATCTTTCGCCAATTTTTTTACCTATTCTTTTTATTTCTCAATTTTTATATAAATACACAATAAATAATTGCGTACATAATTTTTGTATAATTGAACAGTATACGTAACTGATTCATTAGATAAAGCGGCACGCGTTTGATCTCGAGGAATTCGAATGAACCTTTGCTTAGGAATTCTACTTGATCGTTGGTTTTTATTAATTCACTTCCTCCTAAACGTAAGGAAAACACCGATTCAAGTTTGATGGCATCGAGAGATGGGGGCCTTTTTTTTAGTTAGGACATCCAATGGTCCACAATTTTAATATTCGTTTTATTTTATTTTTTATAGCTTTGCAAAGCCAGCAGCTCCCTCTTTTACTTTTTCATCTGTAGCACACTCGACGCGTTTGATCTTTGTTAAAGCTTACTTTGTTTGTAGTTTACTCCAATTGATTTAAAGGGTATTCGCGTCGATCGATACGAATCGATGGAATAAATTTGCTTTGAAAAAATATTTTTAGGCAGATTTTTGTTTGTGACTTTGAAACGGCTCGAGATTGCAATGGCATTGTCGTTAGTGACATCGAGTTTCCTCGTTGCTATAATTGTTAAGGAGGTTAGCTCTTGGTCCATTAGGAAAATTGAAACTCATGTTACCACGAAAGTTGTCCGAAGATCCACTTTTGTTGGATTCTTTTAAATGCGAAGTCACTTTGTCCATTTTTCACTTTGCGAGTCGTCAGAGCTTCTTATCTCTTTCTCTTCCTGTATTTCCTTTCCTCCAGCGTTACCCATCTTTATCTCTTTCGTCTCGAATCTACAGCCTTACCTTCTTGAAATCGAAGCACAGTCCGAAGTAGATGAAAGGTATGTTACCCATCGAATCGGTTCTTTCGATATATAAAATTGCAATGGACAGTCATCACTACATGTTATCTATCGATGCCTTTGGCAAATGTACAATCCTGTCTTTGACATCCTAACGCTACGAGAGAAAAAGAGAATTAATCCAAACTAATTTTAAAATGCTTGCTTTATCCAGACATTGTTAAAATTTTCGTCTTTTGGTGTTCTTCGATTCGGAAGCTAGCGATTTTCCGCTCCGAGAGCCACGAAACTTTTCCGTCCTTTATTTTCCACGTCTCCTTTTATCCATGCTTCTATTCGAAAGCTCGATGAATTTACATTTCGACCGCGCGCCTTTTCAAAACTTTTATCCTGGCAATTTGAGTGGAGCAAATTAAAAACAATAGCGACGTATCGCGTTTCGCGTTACCAGGGCAGCATGTGTACAAGTCCTCGATTTTCCTCGAGAAAACAGCGGCTCGAAGCCAGATCTTGGAATATTTACCACCGTGGGCTCGAGAGAGCCCGAGGCCGGGCAGTCCATTTTCCACTTTTCGACTCGGCAAATCCTCCTATCTTCTTCCTTGTACTCTTTCTTTCTCGCGAGTGTCCCATCTTATCTGGTTCGTGCCGAGTCAACAGCGGAGATCCTGGCCGCGGGCGATTGGAAATCGATTCCCGACGCGAAAGTAATTCGTAAGGAGACACCGAGTTCCGGTAGCGGCGAATAAACGTCCCTTTGTCTCGTTACAAACGGCCTCGTTGAAAGGCGACTTTCCTCTGACTTATTCTGAAATGGAAACTGTTGGCACACTCCTGGGGCCGGATATGTGTTCCAATGCGCCGAATAAAAATCGGTTTCCCACTGAAAGCTGACTTATTTCTAGTTTCGCATTTGCTTCTCGAGAGGAG